GATTATGTTGAAAATGTTATTGCATATTCTTGAAGAATATTCTTGTTGAAAATTCTAACGAAACTATACGTCCTTTCATCGTGCATACAATGTGCATACAATGTGCATACAAACAGCGTTTTAAAAGAATCATTGATCGTTCCATTTCGTTTGAATTTCACGTACGATTATGTTGAAAATGTTATTGCATATTCTTGAAGAATATTCTTGTTGAAAATTCTAACGAAACTATACGTCGTTTCATTGTGCATACAACGTGCATACAAACAGCGCTTTAAAAGAATCATCGATTGTTCCATTTGAATTTCACGTTTGATTATGTTGAAAATGTTATTGCAAATTCTTGAAGAATATTCTTGTTGAAAATTCTAACGAAACTATACGTCGTTTCATCGTGCATACAATGTGCATACAAACAGCGCTTTAAAAGAATCAGCGATTGTTCCATTTCGTTTGAATTTCACGTGCGATTATGTTGAAAATCCTAACGAATGAAAAATACCAGAAAACTATACGTGGTTTCATCGTGCATACAAACAGCGCATTAAAAGAATCATCGATTGTTCCGTTGCGTTTGAATTTCACGTTTGATTATGTTGAAAATGTTATTGCAAATTCTTGAAGAATATTCTTGTTGAAAATTCTAACGAAACTATACGTCGTTTCATCGTGCATACAATGTGCATACAAACAGCGCTTTAAAAGAATCAGCGATTGTTCCATTTCGTTTGAATTTCACGTGCGATTATGTTGAAAATCCTAACGAATGAAAAATACCAGAAAACTATACGTGGTTTCATCGTGCATACAAACAGCGCATTAAAAGAATCATCGATTGTTCCGTTGCGTTTGAATTTCACGTTTGATTATGTTGAAAATGTTATTGCAAATTCTTGAAGAATATTCTTGTTGAAAATTCTAACGAAACTATCGTCGTTTCATCGTGCATACAATGTGCATATAAACAGCGCTTTAAAAGAATCAGCGATTGTTCCGTTTCGTTCGAATTTCACGTACGATTATGTTGAAAATGTTATTGCATATTCTTGAAGAATATTGTTGTTGAAAGTTCTATCGAAACTATACGTCGTTTTATCGTAGTAACAAGCTACTTGCTATATAGTTGCTCGTTGCAACGATAGATAAATTTCATAGAAAGTTTGCCTTTCAACATGCCAGATAATTCCAACGATATCGATAATATCCAATTATTTATATTCATTTCGATGCACAAGTATTTAACGAGCAATCTTTTCTCGTAATAATCTTTATATCCAATAGTTGCTCGTTCCACTGATAGATAAATTTCATAGAAAGTTTGCGTCTTTCAACATAGCAAGTAATTTTAACGATATTAATAATATCCAATTATTTATATTCATTCGAATCCACGAGCATTTACCGACCAATCTTTTATTATAATAATCTTTTTATCGTACAGTTGTTCGATGCAATGATAGATAAATTTCATAGAAAGTTTGCCTTTCGATATAGCAAATAATTCAAATAATATTAACAGCATCCAATTATTTATATTCGTCCCAATTTACAACTATCCAACCAGCAATTTCTCTTCGTGATAATCTTTCTATCGTTTAGTTCCTTGTTACAGTAATTCGATGAATTAATTTCATAGAAAATTCTCCTACGAAAATAGCGACAAACGTCGTGTAAAGACACGTTGTGCGAACGTGGCACGACAAATGTATAAACAATTTATGCAACAAATAATGAAAATGTTCGGTCGCGAACAGAATGGAAATGCGCATACCCATACAGCATATGGTGTTGGCCGACCTCTCCACCATAGCAGCTTCTCCAGCTCGTCGTTTCATCCCCGCTCCTGCTCTCTCACACCATCCACCTTCGTCCCCTTTCGCGTCTGTACACCGATAACCCCTGATAATAGCCGACTACTACGCAAACCTCGACACAACTACCTTTGCAAACCGAGCGCGCATACTTTCGCCTTTTTTTAATATTTCACCGCGTAACAATCGGTCGAGGACCGACGATAAAAAATAAAAGAAAAAGTAATAAAATATAAAGAGGAGAAAAAGACAGAAACGAAAGGTAAAAAGAAAGCGATAATTAAAACGCGCGAGATTATTAAAACGGATTGATTGGAAAGTGATATTTGATACGCGAATCGATGTTTCTGTCAGCTTTAGGCTAAAAAAATTCAAAGAAATCCGAAGAATTTTCTTGGCAGATATTTTTCTTCTCGTCGTTGTTTATTCCTCCACGCAGATTCTATAATTTTATGACGAAGATACCTAATTCGTTTTCAGATACCGAAAAGTACCACGTTTCTTGCGATATTTTTGCGAAACAGACGCGACGCGACGAAGCTTGAATTTCGAAATCAAATGCGTTTATCGCCAAGCTAGTTAATAATTCGCAAATTGCGATAACACGGATGTGTAAGATGGAGCAACGTAAATATTCATTGACTATGAACTAGTAAATTAGTCTCCTAAATCACCAATATCCTCTCTTCTATTTCTCATTTGTATCAGGTTGTCCGAAAAGTCTCCTTCACCAGGAAATAATAGACGCACAATGTTTTTCCTTTTATACTATCAATTATGCACGAACATAATAATAGAAATATAATTCAATAAAATAATATAAAACAGAAATTGTTGTTCATCTATTATCGCCTTATGAAACGAACGAAACTTTCCGGACAACCTAATAGTAAGACGACTTGCGAGCAGACTGTACGCTACCAAAAATACATGGAATAATTGAACCACCAGAAGTACAGAGGCAAGTTAATTCGTCGTATAAAAGAGAATATCGTTCGCATAAAACATTATAATAATTGTTGTCCATATCACCTTATGAAACGAAAGAGACTTTCCGGACAACCTAATAGTAAGACGACTTGCGAGCAGACTGTTCTCTACCAAAAATACGTGGAATAATTGAACCACCCAAGCTACAGAGGCAAGTTAATTCGTGGTATAAAAAAGAATATGGTTTGCGTAAAACATTATAATATTTCTAGGACACGCGATATACAGCAATGCGTATACTGTGCTCTCTAGTGTAATTCAATAAAATAATATAAAACAGAAATTGTCGTTCATCTATTATCATCTTATGAAACGAAAGAAACTTTACAACAACCTAATGTAATCTATCTCCGTATAAAGTATCATTACTTAACATTACATAATTCACAAATACATATCGACACGTGTTTATATTCCAACGCATAAACGATTTAAATTACGCGTTGCCCTGACCCAGTCTTTGCAAAGCTTCGCCTCCTATCGTTTCGCTATTTTCCCTCCGCTGAACGACGAACTCTGCCATTAATCAGAAATCATCGAACCAATCAATTCTACTTAATCGCGATGGAGCCGTGCGAACCTAGAAAGAAGGTTAAGTCCGTAAAGGTAATGGAGAGATGAAGAGGGTGTTGGTCGAAGGTGAAGAAGAGAAGAGGGAAGTTGGTCGATTTAGAGAAGATCCTGGGGCCAGCGATGAAACCGCCAAGAGGTGCTCAGCAACAAATCGACCGCGTCCAGAGCACAGAGAGCGAGAGAGAAGGAGCAAAGGAGACGAGGTTTACGATATATCCAGAGGCCACTTTTTCTCCGTCCTCTCGGTTCTGCCGGTTGAAAAGAAGGCAAGAGAGAAACGCCGTATATCCAAGCTTTTGCACCGACGCAAAAGGGGAAGAAGAGTGGAGGATAAAAAGGTGAAACAAAAAGCCGATTATGTAACCCGGGGGATGAAATACGGGGTTGGCACGGGGGCGGAGTGTCGGGCCAGACACAATAGGGTAATTTTCACGCGAGATTTGGGAGGCGATTTCGCGAGAGAAGGAGCGTGTCGACGGGCATCTTCCACCAGCCTTTTCCTATCCTTCTTCGTGTCTTTGCTTTCTTTCGATAAGGCGTCTCTGTTGCGCTTGCACGTCCGTGTTTTCCCTCGCTCGGTCGGTTTCTCGC